TGTGTGTGTGTGTGTGTGTGTATGTGTGTGTGTGTCTGGTCAAATTAAAATAAATAAATAAAGTTAAATAAAATAATTCTTTTTTTAAAAAAAATTCTCTGTACATCTTAACTTTTCAGTACTAGGGAGAAAAGCTGTTGGAAAAGAGCTTCTAAGACCAAAGAGACGCCAGCAGAGTTAGTCCGATTTTCAGAACATGACATATGACGGTGAGATCGGATGATCTGGGTTCTGCTCTCGTTTATCTAACACATAATGACAACTCACTCACAAACCGTTTGCCTGAAAACGCTGGTCTCAAACCCGTTGCAGAAACCATCGCCCCAGTCACTCTCCGGCTCCAGCACAAGCAGAGACGAATCTGAGATTCTGTGCGTGCTTAAAGGACAAGAATAAGAGGAGTTAAATTGTGATACGATCCCTCTTCTACTTTCCCAAGGTCTGGGTGTTTGAGGTGGAGACACACACACGCACAAAGGAAGGAGAAGGAGGAGGAGGAGGAAGCCCAGGTTTCCAGCAGGCAGCAGTCGCTAACACCTATGTAAAACCAACTGGGGGAAACCCAGACGCCCAAGCAAACCCAGACGCCCTCCCTGGAATCTCCTGTGGACCGGGGAGCCAGGGGCCGCTTGGGTACCACTGGGCAAGGGTGTCCCCTTCCCGATCTCGCACAGTCCCTACCGGCAGGATGTGAGAGGGCCCCAGGTCCCGGGGTGCAGGGAGGGGACGCGCGCCCGCCCCAGGAGAGGAGGCGGCTCTGGCCTCGGAGCCAGCCCTCCTGCTGCCAGAGAACAAACGGGATATTCAGCCGTGGCCTGCGGCTGCCAGAGCGGCTCCTCGGGGGAAATTAAGCGTCGAGTCAGCCCGCATCGTAATCGCCTTTAAAAGCGCCCCGCCCGCTGCGGCGCACACCCGGCTACCTGGCCGCCCTGTGTGCGGGAGCGGAGTGCGCGCGCGAGCCCTGTTGGTGCCAGTGTGAGCCGGGTGGGCTGGGGTGCGTGCCGGCGGCGCGCCGCGAGGGTGTGAGCCCCGAGCGTCTACACCCGCCATGAGGAGCGCGAGCGCCTGGGTCCCGCTCGGCCTGCTGT